GAAGCATTTAATTTTCCTTTACTCCTTGCTCTCCACGAGGCCAGCATGCACACACTATTCAGGAAGTTCCTCTTCTGAAAGTACCTTGCCCATGTGAAGTCTATGGCACTTCCAGCATGTCCAAAGGAGGTTCACATATCCCTGCAGACATCCTCAGAAAGGACATATGAAGAAACTTAAAACTAAAGTACATAGTAAAGAGCAGATCGCAGAGACACTTCTGTGGACCTAGAAGCACTCGCAGGCGTGAGCATCCATCCAGTAGTGGGTAAATATAGGTCTGAGATGAAAAGGTCTTATAGAAATACCATTCCCTGAAGGGGAGGGAAAAAAAAACAACCAAAACTACAGCAAAAAAAAAATGTATTGGTCTCAGAAAACTTTCTTAGAGCCAAGAACAGGGAAAAACTGTCTAACACTGATTGCTTATCATATCCTGATGTGATGGGATGGTGTAAACCACACAAAGACAGGCTGCTCAGACTGAAGTGGTCACTAGGATGAAATTATGGATTTTGGCATATGGATGCATTCAGGAACGCACCAGGGGTCCAGTATGGGCTTGAGTTCCCCGTGGAGAAAGATCACAAAGAAAAGCAGAAGCAGGCTGGCAGGTGAGAAAGTACTGCTTTTAACCCCAGAATAGATCCTTCACCCAGAGGGCTCAGTGCACTCCCTGGACATTTGCATCTCAAGCACCTCTTCTGCTGAAGGCAGGTCTCCTCCATGGCGCTGGTGCATGTTCAGCACTGCTGGACAAGCAGACTTGATTGAGATTACTTGTAGCAATGGAGGTCAACTGCCTTCCAGAGGTGGGAGGGAAGTAGCCTCAAGGCGTTCTGCATACCTCCACTAATGATGCCTCCCAACACTGCTGTAAGACAACCTTGCACGATAGCCCCCATTTCCACACCTCTAGTTGCCAGGAGAAACACTTTTCATAATCATGTCGGTTGTAAAGTGCAGAGCTGCTCAATTTTACTTGTTCTTTCAAAGCAGAATATGGGAGGACAGAGTTCTTCATGCACAACAAAGCAGGCTGGAAAGTTGTGACTAAATATCGGAGGGGTTTGCAATGACAACTTTGAACTGTGAGACAAGGGACCACTGGTGACAATTGTGTGCTTGCTATTTTTAGCTGGGCAGCATGAGCACTGTTATCCCTAAGGAACAAGGACAGGAGCACAACTACCAAACCCAAAACACAGGCTTTTCGGAGAATTCATCTGGGACAAAGATGGGAACTTTAGTGTTTGCCAGTGCTGCCTGCTACACTGTTCCACAGATTTTCTGCACCAGGCTTTTAATCATTGCATGAAAAAAAAAAATTACAGTTATAGAGATCAGGGCTTCTAAGTGTAGATGAACAAATATTTATGAATGTGTGCAAATCTATCTGTCAATACACACACACACACACACCCCCACACACACCCCTACAGACATACATATTTCAGGGGTCTAGGTTTAATCAAAGTGCACTTGTTTTCCTCCATTAATCACTTGGAGGATTAATGATTTTTTCATCTGTGCAATGAGGTGTGGAACAGCAGTCAGGGAGAATGACCTTAGATAACACAGTGAGCAGCAAGGAACTGATAAGGTTGCTCCTGCCCTTATCAGGCTGAGGTGAAGGAGGAAGGTTTCTTTCTATTCCATTTCCAAAATGCTGGATATGCAGTCTGAGTGCATGCTATCGCCACAGTTTAACTGCAGTAGCAGACACAAGTTCGTATCTCTTTTCCTCCACCGCAGTGTTAAGCCAGAGATGCTGTTTGGCCTTTCTGAGGTTTCTTGCAGGTTTGGCTAGAGAAAGGTGTAAAAGTCCTGGTGCTCACTGCCTATGGCAAACCAGTGTTTTGGGCCATAAGAGCTGTTATTTAAGGTGCTATATATGATGACCACCTGCCTCTAGTCAGCAGTGTAGGGAGAGACGGCAGAGTGACGCAAGTACTTCTGTCCTTTGTTGACTGCACTGGTGGCTCAGAGACACTGGCCTCCTCCCTTGGCTGTGTGAGCCAGCTGGTGTGAATGCCCTCTCTTGTGTACAATTAGCAGACATTAATACCACGAAGCTTACACATATGCATTGTTCCTCTGCTGCAAAATGTTCACTTCTACATATTCTGCAGGAATCTGCCGGTTTTAAAGTAAGTGTCTGGTATGTATAGGAGCAAAACTTACCTATGGGATCTACAGCAGAACCAGCTAAGAGGGAAATGTCCTCTGCCTGTGCTCCCCACACAGACACAGCTGGGGTCAGAAAGGGAAAGGGGCAGGGAGAAGGTTGTGACTCAAGGCAAGGAGTAGGAGGTCCCAGGGGAACGTCTTGGGGAGTTACCTTTGCTGGGATGGCAGGGATTTATGGTGCATTGCTGCATCTCCAGCCTGTAAAGCCACCTCTGCACAAGGCTATGCTTCTCTCTACTGCTCCACTGGCAATAAATAACATGGCAAGAGCTTTGGCAATGTCCGTTTGTGATGTTCTTTACTGTGGGTGCTAAATGAACCCGGAAGAGGAAAATCCATGAGGTTATCTTGAGGTGTTGAAAGGAGGATGAAAACAAACATGAGTAGGGAGCTGTGATGCGCCGGCATGCCTCTTTTCTTTTGAGTACCGTGCTTGTAACCGCTGGCCAAGTCTAACTCAGTCTCTTCCTGCAGTTCGACATGCAGAGGATAACGCTGGAGGAGCTGAAACACATCCTCTACCATGCGTTCCGGGACCACTTAACGATGAAGGACATTGAAAACATCATTATCAATGAAGAGGAGAGTTTAAATGAAAACTCTGGCAACTGCCAAACGGAGTTTGAAGGTGAGAAAGTTCCTGTGTTTCTATACAATGATTCTTTTTCTGCTTCCTTTGTGGAAGTCTGAGTCTGGTCAGCAACACATCCAACCAGCAAGGATGCAAGGGAGTAGGCCTGCTTAGATTAAGTAGCAATTACACACTTAAAGAGCTCTGGAACTGGCTTTTAGCCTTCTTCCATGTGGTTGAAGTTGATCCTGCCCTCCGGCAGAGATATGAACTACTGGATCCTTTGAAGTGCTCATGGCCTTCCGCTCTCCGGCAGGATTCGTGCAGAGGGCCATACAGCCCACGCTAAGGTGAGTGTCTCATATAGATTGAATTTCTCTACAGAAATATGCTCCTACTCTAGCAAGCTGCATTAGGCTTGCTCTGTTCAATGGTGTAGCCATTGCTACATTCAAAATCTTGTTTATGGCCAAAGAGGAAGCATATATAAGTAAAGCTAAGAATTTATTGTTAGTATAATTGAAATCCTAAGCTATAGTCATTATTAGTCCAGCTCTAATTGTTACAGAAAAAGAAAGATGAATGGGGAGAGCGGAGCTCAAGCATACAGCAAATGAGCACATAGGCTTGATCAAAAGCTGACCAAACACAGTTGCTCCTGAATTGCAATATTATAACCACGTTTTCTGGCATTCTTTGCACTGTTCAGCAAGTCTTATTTTCAGCAGAGTTGAGGAATAGGAATAGGAAGAGACTTTAGGGCTTCTCAGCTTTGAAATAAGTGGTCAGTCTACTAGTCTGAATAGCTTTTGAGCCAGTATCAAAAGCTTTTCTATCTCCGTTGTACCCTAACCCTGGACTATGCACAAAGCTGCTTTTATGTTTGAGAGCTTGTGCAGTCATGAGGTGGTACCTGCTACTTTGGAATCACCATGAAAATAAAATTAATGGGTCAGTTCAGCATCTCTTAGGAAATGAAAAGGAAAATCTGTGTCAAACCTTCAACCTTGTCTTTTTTGCTTCCAGTGTAACATCATATCAGCACACACAATTTTATCTACACCACCCAAATCTTGTGTTTATTGACATTACAGAAATCCTTGAACCCCCAGTAAATAAATTAGCTCCTAGACCATCAGCAGTACACCCATATCAGCTCAGGGTTTGGCCACGCCAGAGAGACAGGACCGGTATTAGCACAGCTCCACGTTATACTAACAGCAATGAGCAGAGCTAGCGCATCTGCAGCACTTACTTACACCACTTGCTCAGCACTGTCCCTGAAAGGGCACGAAGCAGGAGACCACAATGCAGAGATGCTGACACACCTCTAAAACACAGCAAAGGATAGATATACTAGTGTAATTTTTAGCCTGGCTAATTAACAGGAGTCAGAAGATGTATCCAGCACACTCATCCTCTGCTGAACACTGCAGAAAAGATGTGGAAGAGCACAGCTGAATTTTAAAAAGCCTGCAGGAGGGAGGCAAGTGGTGACACTTTTCAAACCAAGCCAAGCAACATTTTCTTCCTTCCTGGAGAGAGGCAGGAAGGGATGCTTACTTACTTGAACAGAGTTGTTGGTCCCCAGTGACCTGCTGATTCAGCGGAGACATGTGCCAGCCTGCAGCTGTCCCTGCTGCAAGATGCATGCAGACAGGACTTTTTTCAGCTTAGTGAACTGTCCCGGTCACAAAAGACGGGTCTAATAAACTAAATGCTCTGCATCGCATTCTGGAAGTCCCAGCCTCCAAAAGTACAGCAAGAACAGCTTTTCTCGTGGGATGTTGGCATTGCTGGTGCTAGGCAGAACCTAGAAGCAAAACAGACCCTTTTTTAGATGTTGCTAGAAATACATACACATGCACCAATCCCCCAGAGAATGAAGATCAACTGAACACTGTCAACCAAGAGGCAAAGTTTTGCTTCATGTCCCAGAAGAAGGAGATGGCTCCGGTCTGTGGCCTTTCTGACATGAGCATTTCTTCCAGAAAAGGCAGACTGAGAGCCGGTAACCTCACCTCAGCTCTCCAGGCTGGACACAGCCGTTATCTGAACGACCTGCTTGTGCCAAAGGAGACGCGGCTGCCCACAGCAGTCCCATTTCCCATATACTAAGCTCCCTGCAGAGTTCCAATGCAGGAACTGCAGGGCCTCCTGAAGTGGATCGATGGCAGGAAGGGAGAGCTGTCAAAAGGTTAGAGAGCAGCTCAGCGTTAGATGGCTGTACAAAAGCATCTCCGTGTAAGCTAGTCACCCTTTACACACATCTTAATTACTGGAGCGAAGGAAATGCTTTTTGGGTACAATTCCTCCAATTTATTTTAAGCAGTACATTGAGGTGAGATGAACTGCACCTATCTTTCAACTGTAAGTGTAGCCTAAAAGGACTAGCTTGGCGGTTTGCATCCGCATGTAATGTACATTTGATCCACCCCATTCAAAGTGCCTTTAATTGTGGGTAGGAAGGAAGCCAAGATCAGTCCTGGTGGTTTTCATTGAGCTTTGGGAATGGCTCCTAGGGGAAGAGAGACAGCAGGTACATTCACTACTGTGCTGTATAGGAAGATCTACACTCACTGTCACCACTGGATATTTTCTTCCCTCCAAAATGAAGCCCCAAGACCCCTGCCTTCCCTGTCCCATGCACAGGTGGAGTTACCTGGCTCAGCCCAGCTCTGCTGGGTTCACAAACTGAGAAATGTTCAGCATCGAAAAGTCTGGAGATACCTCGGAAGTCAGGTCTGCAGAGAATCTGGGGACTGACAGCTGGAAAAATGTACTCCCCTCTGTACTACTCCAGGAAAAGTTTTGCTATATCGCCAGCGGATGGTGTTTATCTCCTATTAAAAGCACTTGTATCAATGTACTTTGCTCCTGCAAACATCAAGGAAAGATTTTTCTCTCTGATAAGGCAGTTTTGTAAACCAAATTTGTGCCAGTATAACTGTCCATGTACACGGAAGTACCAGTCTGGCAGTACTGGTAAAAAAACAGCCAGAAACTAACCAGCATTGTACAGGTAATATCACCACTGGTACAAACACATACAATTGTGAATTTGTGTCATTCTCACAATTTTGACATCATGGCTTTTTGTCAAAAAAAGGCTGAGCTTCAGATCTGAGTTTTATAATATTCTTCCTTTGTCAACAAGATACCTTAATTCTCTCTCTCTCACACACACACACATACACACACACTTTAAACCAAATACAAAATTCATATTATAGCCAAGGACAAGTCCAGGATTTTGTTCAATTCACTCTGAACATAACAGTCCTCCACAAGACATCAGATCTACAGTTATGTTACAGCTTTTCCTCCTACAACGTTTCTAGGGGATTTTAGTTTGCCTTCTACTTGAAGAAGAGCAAAGGAAAGAAGATGCCCAGCTCCTCTATATGAGCAGCCCCCACCAGCCCAGCCGATGCAGAATACAACCGGAAGGAATGCATGGTTTTATCTTCAGCCTATCTATCTCACTATTTTTATTAATGCTTAGGGCACGAGAATGAAGTCAAGAGTCAAGATGAGTGTTTGTATTTGTGGGAAGAGACACAAGGACAACAGTGTGCCTTGACACTGTACAAACAAAAATCTGTAGCACAAGAGTCATTTGTCTGGAGTTCCCTTTATCAAAATGCTCACAACGTTAAACTCATGGCAAACAAGGATGTTGTATGGTTGCGGTGACCCATTCTGCCTGCCACGGGTACTTCATCCTCAGCCCTGACATTCATAGTAAATGGATATTCAAGAGCTGCCACAGCTTCCGTGCACCCTCACCCCAAACAAGTGTTAGGAGCATCTTCTCCTCAGCTAAGGGCAGCAGGGATGAAAAACTGACCTCTTAAAACAAAAATAAATCTCTACCCAGCCAGAGAAAGCAAATATCACTCACCTCAGGCAAGGTTATGAAAAAAGTCACTGTAAATACATTGTAGCAGTTCACGTTAGCAGGCTTTTTTCTGCAGAAGGTTCTTAGCTCTCACCCTGGGGACCTCAAACACACCGCCTGCATCATAACCAGCCTTGCAGGCACAGCGAGTGGGTTCCTGCACCCTGAAATGGGCTGGACTTATTTGCCCCACATCCCAGGGGAGAATTTACAGCCGCAGCCTGCCGCTGCAGCCTCCTCCAGCAGATTTTCCACCACAAAGTGCTGGCAAAGCCCCCAGACCGCAGCTTGCCAGGCAGCTGTTAGCCAGATGCAGGCCCCAAACTATTGCTCATGTCGCTAACTGCTTGCAGCTGCTGGGCCACTCAGCAAAGGTACCCTATCTCTGTCGCCGGATGACACCGTGGCAGAGTCCTCCCTGCCATCTGGCGTGTCCTCTGCATGTTGAGAGAGGAAAGCTGCCCCTGCATGGATGTGCCTTTGCTTCCTCAGAGTTCCTTTATTTTGCTCTCCCCTGCTAAGAGCAGGATGGGACCTCTCCAGAGGAACTTCTGACTCTGACCATGTTTCTGGGAACCAGCTCATGTCCAAACCACCAGCGCATCCCACGTGTAGTAGCAACTTCTGCTGACAATGAAATGTAAAAGAGAACAAGTGGCGAGCTCCCAAGGCAGTGCCCGCTGCGGAAACGAACAGGAGAAAGCACAGACGCCACGCTCAAAGGCTCTAAGCATTCAGGGAAATGAGACAATCAAGGGCAAAGACCCATCAGTTCATAGTGAGGACAAATGCATCTGACAAAGCTTGCTTTCCTCATTTTAGGTGGCAGCCCCACACACTTTATAGCAGAGCTCACTGGGAGGCTGCCTTTTACCTTGGCCCATTTTTAATTCCCATTAGCTAAACCAGTCCCTGCCCCCCAGGCATCCTTCCACAGGCAGCTCCATCCTAACAGCCGTCTCCTCTCAGGACAGCAGCAATCTTTCATCCCGGAAAAAGAAGAATCAGAGAACAGTTTTGAAAGTTTATTCGTGAATGGTGCTGGTCTGCAGGAGTCCACGTCAGTGGAGGGAATGGCTTCAAGGCCTCCTATTTTCAGATCCAGATGATGTAGATGTGAGCTTCCGTGGCCCTGAACAGATTTTGTTTACATTTAAGATGACAATTCACGGACTGCCCCAAGGGCAGCATGTAGCCCAGTGTTACAGTGAAGAGAGACAGCAATTTTAGCTTCTTTGCTCCCTGCAGATAGCAAGGGGTTGGGGGAACCGTACCACAACCGTTGTCCTCAGTGCTGTAATTCCTGAAGACCCCAGCCAACAGCAAGAGGGGCTCTCTGGGTCTGCAACACCTTTACATTTCAGCACAGACCTTGCCCCTTTTCTCCAGAGTTCTTTGGTAGGTAATCTGGTTATTTGGTATACCTTCCAGTAGATAAAGGGCAATAATGATGACTTACCTGGATCCTGTTATATTAAAGCTCTGTTTTCACTTGATGATGTAGCAGAAGTCTAAAGAAATTGTTAGATTCAGGGACACTGCTGTTTCTACAAGAAGCACTGAAGGTGCTTTACCCCTCTTCCTTTGAAGAGGAGAAAGTTGTCTTCGCAGAAAGCTAAACCGTGGCCAGTCTTTGCTCCTAGCCACAGAGCTTCACATCAGAGCCCCACACTGAGCAGTAACACAGAAACATTTTGTCCACTGGCTCGGAAGGATTCCAAAGTAAAGAAATAGCAGTAAGCAAAGCCATGTATTTAAAAAGCTTTCTTGAAGTGCTGGCGCATCATGTGCAAAACAAGGAAACACAATATTGATTCTGTGTTCATTATAAAAGCAAATGAAAGAATCAGGGAGTAGAGCAGTGCAAGCAGAAAGCAAGTAATTTAGGAGAGCTGCCATAAGAGGGATTTCATTATCTGTGCGGCACATAGCAAGTCCCCTTGGAGTACTGGTTGCACAGCGTTTCCCTGCGCTAGGCGGCTTCAGTCAAAGTACTGCCTGATGAGGGGTTATTGTGCCTCTGGCGCTGAGCTAATGCTCCGGGAACGTGTGGGAGCTGGGATTAGGACACAGACACTGCTAAATCCTGACCAAAGGAGGTGAGGAAGGATGAAACAAAAGTATTCAAAATGCAGCATCCAGTGCTCCCCCCTCTCCGTGCGACAGGATTCAAGCCTGAATCAGAACAAGATTTTTTTTTTTCCCCATATACTCTCAAAACATTATCCTGGACTTTTCCAGGCTTGGGCACTCAGAAAGCCTTTTCCTAGTTGAATTTTAGGTTTATTCTCGTTCTGAACCTGTTCTCAACCATATGAAAGTCTCCCATCATCACCAGTATGATGAGGAAGGAGACACATCGCTGCTAGCCTTCTCCACGAAAGAAGGAGATAGGCACCTCCATTCTCATGCTAAAATGAGACCACGCATTACTGCCCTACAGGCAGGGCAGACCTATCCATCCTGCGCATGAGGAACTTCTGAGCACGTGTGTTTCCCTCAGAGGACCTGCTGAA